TAATGAAGTTAACCTCACTCACAAAAACATAGACAATAGATAATCCCACTTTACCAAAAGCCAAAAAAAAAAAAGGCAGGGTAAATCCATGAACAATAATCCCACCAACAGCAAATCCAAAATAAAAAAGAATTAACACTCAATGGTCCTTAATTTCCCTCAATAATAATGATCTTAATTTGCCTATAAAAAGATATAGGCAAACAGAATGAATACAAAGACAGAATCCATCCTTCTGCTGCATACAAGAAACACCCCTCAACTTCAAAGACAGATATTACCACAGAGTAAAGGGTTGGGATAAGATTTTCCTATAAAATGGACCCAAAAAACAAGCTGATATAGCTATCCTAGTATTGAAGAAATTAGACTTCAAACTAAAGTCAATTAAAACAGATGAAAATGGTCATTTCATATTCATCACAGGAAAAATCCGTCAGGAAGAAGTCTCAATTCTGAACATCTAAGCCCCAACTACAAATGCACCCATGTTCATAAAAGAAACATTACTAAAACTCAAATCACACATAAGACCTCATAAAGTTATAGTGGGAGACTTCAATACCTCACTCTCACCACTAGACAAGACCACCAGACAGAAACTTAACAAAGAAACATATGAACTAATAGAAGTTATGACACTATTAGGTTTAACAGACATCTATAGAAACATTCCATCAAAACACAAAAGAATGTATCTTCTTTTTAGCGACACATGGGACCTTCTCTTAAATTGACCACATACTTGGCAACATAACAAACCTCAACAGGTACAAAAATTAGAATACCCGCCCTGTATCTTATCAGACCACCATGCTTTAAAGTTAGAATTCAACAACAACACAAATTAGAGAAGCCCTACAAATTTGAATAACACACAATTTAACCATTTCTGGGTCAAAGAAGACAATAAAGACTTCCTAGAATACAATGAAAATGAAGATACAGCATACACAAACTTATGGGACACTTTGAAAGCAGTACTTAGAGGAAAGTTCATAGCACTAGGTGCTCATCTGGAGAAACTGGAGAATAGTCACACTAGAGAATGGCACAGATGAAATCTCTAGAAGCAAAAGAAGCAAACTCACCCCAGAAGAGTAGATGCCAGGAAATAATCAAACTGAGGGCTGAAATACATAAAGTCAAAATACAAAAAATAATTCAAAGAATCAATGTAACAAAGAGTTGGTTCTTCGAGAAAATCAACAAGCTAGACAAATCTTTATCCAAACGAACCAAAAGGCAGAGAGAGAACGTGGAAATTAACAAAATCAGAAATGAAAAGCAGGACATAACAATTGACACTGAGGAAATCCAGAGAATCCTCATGTCATACTTTAATAACCTGTAGTCCACAAAATTCAAATATTTAAAGGAAATGGAAAAATTTCTGGATAAATATCTTTTACCAAAATTAAATCAAGAACAAATACACAATTTAAACAGACCTCTAGCCCCTAATGAAATAGAAGCAGTCATCAAAAGTCTCCTAACCAAAAGTAGCCCAGGCCCGGATGGGTTTAACACTGAATTCTACCAGAAATTCAAAGAACAGCTAAAACCAATACTCCTCAAAGTGTTCCACATATTAGAAGCAGAAGCTTCATTTCCAAACTCTCTTTTATGAGGCTACTGTTATCTTGGTACACTAGCCACACAAAGACACAACTAAGAAAGAGAACTTCAGACCAATATCCCTCATGAACATTGATGCAAAAATACTCAATGAAATACTAGCAAATTGAATCCAAGAACACATCATAAAAATCATCCACCTTCATCAAGTAAGCATCATCCCAGGCAAGCAGGGATAGTTCAACATACGAAAATCTACCAATGTAATCCACCATATACACAAACTGCAAAAGAAAAACCCCATGATCATATCACTAGATGCTGAAAAAGCCTTTGACAAAACCCAACACCCCTTCATGATGAAGGTCCTGGAAAGATAAGGGATAACAGGGACACATACCTGAATATAATAAAAGTAATATACAGTAAATCAACAGCCAACATCAAACTAAATGGAGAGAAACTCAATGCGATTCCTCTAAAATCAGGAACAAGATAAGTCTGTCTACTCTCTCCATCTCTCTTCAGTATTGTACTTGAAGTTCTAGCTAGAGAAATAAGACAACAAAAGGAGATCAAGGGGATATAAATTAGAAAGGAAGAAGCCAAACTTTTACTATTTGCAGATGACATGATAGTTTACATAAGTGACCCAATAAACTCTACCAGGGAATTCCTACAACTGATAAACAACTTTAGCAAAGTGGCAGGATAAAAGATTAACTAAAAAAAATCAGTAGCCCTATTGTATATGGACAATAAATGGGCTGAGAAAGAAATCAGAGAAACATCATCCTTTACAATAGTCACAAACAACATAAAATGCCTTCAGGTAATGCTAACCAAACAAGTGAAAGACCTGTATTGCAAGAACTTTGAGTCTTTAAAGAAAGAAATTAAAATGATACCAGAAAATGGAAAGATCTCACATTCTCTTGAACAGGTAGGATCAACATAATAAAAATGGCAGTCTTACCAAAAGCAATCTACAGATTCAACGCAATCCCCATCAAAATACCAACAAAATTCTTCACAGACCTTGAAAGAACAATATTCAACTTTATATAGAAAATCAAAAGACCGAGGATAGCCAAAACAACTCTATATAATAAAGGAATTTCTGGAGGAATCACCATTGCTGACATCAAGCTGTATTATAGAGCCATTCTCCTGAAAACAGCTTTGTACTGGCATAAAAATAGACAGACCAATGGAATCAAATTAAAAACCCTGATATTAACCCACACACCTATGAGCACTTGATTTTTGACAAAGAAACTAAAATTACATAATGGAAATAAGAAAGCATCTGCAACAAATGGTTCTGGCATAGCTGGATGCTGGCATGTAGAAGACTGCAGATAGATCCATGTCTATCACACCATGCACAAAACATAAATTCAAATGGATCAAAGACTTCAACATAAATCCAACCACACTGAACCTCTTAGAAAAGAAAGTAGGAGGTACCCTTGAACAAATTGATACAGGGGATGGCTTCCTGAACATAACATCGGTAGCACAGACACCGAGATCGACAATTAACAAATGGGACCTCCTGAAACTGAGAAATTTCTTTTCCTGAAACTTAGAAACTTCTGTAAGGCAAAAGACATAGTCAACAAGTCAAAAAGGCATCCCAAAGAATAGGAAAAGATATTCACTAACCCCACATTTGACAGAGGGCTGATCTCAAAATCGTACAAAGAACTCTAGAAGCAAGTCTCCAAAACACCAAAGCATTCAATTAAAAAGTGGGTCAAAGACCTAAATAGACAATTCCCAATAGAAGAGTCTAAAATGACTGATAGACACTTAAGACAGTGCTCATCATTCTTAACTACTAGGAAAATGCAAATCAAAACAACTCTGAGACACTACCTTACTCCTGTCAGAATCAAAAACACCAATGACAGTTTATGTTGGAGAAGATGTGAAGAAAGGGGAACACTCCTCCCCTGATGGTGGGAGTGCCAACAAATACAGAAACTTTGGAAATCAGTATGGAGATTCCTCAGAAAAATGGCAATCAGTCTACCACAAGACCTAGCAATTCCATTCTTAGGCATAACCCAAAATGTGTGTATTCATGCAAAAAGGACATCTGTTCACACTGTGTTCATAGAAGCATTATTTGTAATAGCCAGAACCTGGAAACAACCTAGATGTCCCTCACTTGAAGAGTGGATAGAGAAAATGTGGTACATTTCCATAATGGAGTACTATTCAGCAGAAAAAAAAACAATGGAATCTTGAAATTTGCAGGCAAATGGATGGCGCTAAAGAAACTATCCTGAGTGAGGTAACCCAGTCACAAAAAGACAAACATGGTATGTACTCACTCACATATGAATTTTAGACATGGAGCTGGGGAATGCCAGCCTACAATCCCTCTGCCAGAGAGTCTGTAAAACAAGGAGAACCCTAAGATAGATTTGCATGGTACCCCAGAGAAGTGGAATGTGATAGGAACTCCTGCACTAATTGGGAACATGGGGGAAGGGGAGAGGGAGCTGGGAGAAAGAGAAGGGGAGAAGAGGAGGGGAGAGGAGGACATTGGGGAGCAGGAAGTTTGAGTCAGGGGGAAGAATAGAGGAGAGCAGGATGAGAGACACCATAATAGAGGGAGCCATTATAGGTTTGAGGAGAGATCTGGTACTAGTGAGCTTTCCAGAGATCTACAAGGATGACACCAACTAACTAAACAAAAGTGGAGAGGCTACCTTAAATGCCCTTTCCTGGTAATGAGATTGATGACTACTTTATATGCCATCCTAGAACCTTAATCCAGTGGCTGATGGAAGCATAGGCAGACACCCACAGCTAAACAGGGAACTGAACTCCTGGAACCCAGTTGCAGAGAGGGAGGAGCAATGAGCAAAGCGGTCAAGCCCAGGCTGTTGAAAACCACAGAAACAGCTGACCTGAACAACAGGGAGCTCATGGACCCCAGATTGATACCTGAGAGGCCAGCATGGAACTGATCCAGACCCCCTAAATTTGGGTGTCAGTGAGGAGGCCTCAGCAGTCTATGGGGTCTCTGGGAGTAGATCAGTATTTATCCCTCGCATCTGAATGGACTTTGGGAGCCTATACCACATGTAGGAATGCTCTCTCAGCCTGGACACATGGGGAGGGCCGAGACCCTGCCCTGGATGATACGACAGACTTTGGATATCCCCTAGGAGGTCCTCACCCTCCCTGGGGAGCCGAGTGGGGATTGGGTGGGGGGTTGGAGCTGGTTGGTGGTGAGCGTGGGAGGAGGGGAAGGAGAAGGAGCTGGGATTGACATGTGAAGCAAGATCATTTAAATAAAAAGAATGGATTACAAAATAAAATGTTAGGAGAGTTAGTCGTGCATACCTTTAATCCCATTAGAGACAGGTGGATCTCTGTGAGGTCAGCCTGATCTATAGAACAAGTTCCAGGATAGCCAGGGCTACACACAGTAATACCCTGTCTTGAAAAATCCAAAAAAAAGAAAGAAAGAAAGGAAGAAATATGGGTTTAAAAAGTATATAGAAATGCAAATTTGTTACAACAATCGTGTGTTGTGATCTGGCCAAACTTGATTTTCATAAAGGTTGTTGCACATGCCAACCCGGTCTTTTGTCATCACGACTCTTTACCCTTCTAGTAGTTACCCTTCAGTTGTACTATGCTTGCCATTTCTTATATTTTCTGATATTCCTGGGTAAGATTTACTGCAATGCCTGCAAGTATTTCATATTTATCACTCCTGGAATTCTCTGAGCCATTTGGATGTGTAGGTTTTGTTTTGTTATTTTTAATTGGATATTTTCAGCTATTATTTCTCTATTTTCTTTCATCATTTTAGTCTTTTTCTCATGAATTTTCATTGCATTTATGTTGATGTCCACACATTTCTGTGAGGGTATTAATTTTCCTACCACCCCCCATTGCATAAAAGCTACTGCCCTCTCTCCATTTTACTGACTCAGCCAATTCATATCCACTATCCAGAACCTTTAAAGAGCTTTTAATCTTTATTATTGTACAGTGTAGTATATGTGTATGCATGGGATTTCCCAAGTGAAGTAACTCAGTAGTAGGTAAAGGTCTTGCCACCAGACCTGACAGCCTGAGCTCCATCCAGGAAGCCACATAATGAAAAGAGAAAACTGACTCCCCAAAGTTATTGTTGACCTCCTCATGAACACCAAGGCAACTGCATGCCCACACACATACTCACACGCACAGACACAAAGGCAAACACACACACAGACTCACACATATACTCACACACACCAGCATACACACACACACACACACACACACATGAATAAATAAATAAAGGATAACTAAAGATATATGCTCCATACTGATTATTTATTAGCATTCATTAACATACTTGGTTTGGTGTGGCATTGTTCTCATAGGCTTCTTTCCATAATCATGGCCCCTTTAGTTCCTACAATGGAATTATGAAGGTAACTGTCAAGCCTTTGCCAAGTCTAATGCACAGCTACGGTCACAGGCTGTTTCCATTGTTTACTTTCCCTTCCCATTTTTCCTTTTTTGGTCTGTGCATTGTATGCTGCTGTTTCTACTGCTTTGCTGAAAACAGAGTGTTTTAGGTAATATCTTGAAGCCTCTATGGTTACAAACGCCCCACTGAGAGACATCCTGTCTGTGCTTGCTAACTGACTTATTTAGTGAATACCTGGTTTATTTTAGTGAATTCTATGATCCCACACAACACTAAGGGTATATACTTGCTCTCTGAGAATACAGTCTCTGGGTCTATGGATAGTGACTCTGGGTGACAATTGTTTTACAGTGTAGAAGGAAGTGTGGAGCTCCTCTTCCGGTAGGCAGATCTTGGTATTGTTTTCAACAAGGTCCCTGCACATAAATTCTCTACAAACTTATTTAATAGAATTTGATCTTTGTAGGCAAATTCCTGGAGTCAGTTTTAGAGATTGGTACTGACACAGTGAGGATTTCACCCAGCCATCTTTTCTTCTGTTTTCTCCAGCAGACAATTGGCCTGGCATACCATTTTTTTCCTACATGTCAAATAAATCTATTAATAGCCCTCCAGCTACTCTCCTCCCCCATGCCATAGGCCTGACTGCCTCTCTACAGTCAGTTGAAAACTGTATCAGTTCTTTAAAAAAATCCCAGAGGGACTCCTTGTGTTTGTCTTTCTAAGTACTCTTGTCTGAAGTTGTGGCCTTCTTGGACTCTTCCAGGGTCATAAGGCTTGCCTCACCCATCATAAAAGTACTGTCTTAGCAACTGCATATCCAGAGATTCTGGGGTTCTAGTATCTCTCTAGCACCATTCTGGAGATAGAGTTAACATTCTACCCATGCAGCTAGACAGAAGGGTGTCCTCACCCATAATGTTCTGATGGCATCTTCCAGCTAGGATCTACAGGGAGAGGAGCCTGCACTCTTAACTTCACCCATTCAGGAGCTCTGTCATAATGGGGGGAGGCAAGACAAAAGCTTAGGTTCTAATCAGACACCACAGACTCCTGCTATTCTTGCTGTTTAGACAACATGCAAAGCAAATGTGTCCCCTTTTCTCTGTTCACTGGGAAGCAGGTTCACTGAGCTACTCCGTGTGCCATGCCCAGCACAGAACCAGTTATAGTCATTTGTAGTTGTTTTTTTCTTCAGTGCTAGGGACAGGACTGTACCTGGGATTTCATGCATGTTAGGCAAGAACTCTACCACAGAGGTGTGTTCCCAGTTCTGGTCATTTAGCAAAACTTTCTCCACTGCTAACTTTCTCATTTTGCTTCATGACTCTGATTTCAGACAGTTGTCATGAGCATCCTTAGAGAGTTTGTAATCAAGAGTGTCCACTTATAAACTTGCACTTGAATAATAGTAGATATACCGCCATTCCTGTGAGGCATGCGTGAAAATGGCACACTCTGGAGACCATGCTACTAGATTTCTGAGAACTTTCCCTCTTCAAAATTCTCTACACTTCTCCCAGGATCCCACATATTGCCAGGACTTGCTGATCTGCACACTAAAGATGTTGGTAAATGATTCTTGGAGTCCCCCCAACTTACTTTTTTTTCTTGACAGTGATTGTGGTTGAATGCTGGTCTTAGGAAGGACTTTCTCTGCTACATTTTAAAGAACTACTATGTCAAAACTGTATATCATTAAATATTTTAACTGTTCTTAAACTTTTACTCTTTCCTTTCCCCCCTTTTATTTTGTGGTATGTACTCAGCTTCTTTTAGATGCTGCATGGCAATTTATACAAACTGAATTTTCATTATATACTTAATGAACACATTTGGTATTTGAGGCATACTTATAAACAGTAGGCTTCATTCAGAATGTCTTTATATCCTAGTCATTGTATATTTCTTATTTGGTGCTTCTCTACAGGCTCTGAGTGTGTTTTACCCCAGATGTGTAGGATCAGGAGCATTTGTTATAGGTGTGTGTGAGTGTGTGTGTGTGTGTGTGTATGTGTAAAAGTTTCAGAATATTTGCAGTTACACAGTGAAATATCTTGGACTTGAGTGTAAACACCAGCTTTGGCTACATGTTCTTCTTATACACACAGTATGAAGAAATTTTTATGCAGTAATTTCAACACAGCTGATTGGGGTTACGACCATATCAGGAATGGAGGGGCAGAATCTTCCACTTGTACCATCCTGTGACTGCTCGTAAAGTCTCATGTTGAGAGCATAACTGAATGCAGACCTCTGTATGAGGGATACTGAATCTGTTTTGTGCCTTTATTACCTATGCTTTAATTTTATAACATGCACTCATTTTAGTAACGTGGGACTATGTCCTAATTGTGTAAATATATGTCAATGTGTATGTTATGCTTATGAAGAAATAATCTTTCAGTTTTCCCATTCTACACATTCAGAACTGTTCATATGAATGTCTTGGCCAATATGTTAGATCAAATCTAATAAAGAGTTAATTAGTCTGACTTAGAATAAGTCACAATGAAGTCCATTCTAGTGGAAAGTTGATATCAATTTAATGTAAAAGAGCCCATCTTTCTTTAGTTATTTTAAAAGCAAAACAAATCTGTTAATTTGTTTGATTAATACATTTGTTAGCATGAAATAAGTTAAATAACTAGCTTACTTGTGAATTAATCAACTTATGTTCTTTATGTTAATCTTACCTTTATTTTTATAAAGATGATATCTTTTAAACTGAATCATCTTCAGTTTTCATTGAGGTTTTGGGGGTTATAGAAAATCAAACAACTAAGACTCTAATGAGTTAAGTTCACAGTATGTCTAAGTCACTGGGAAGATCTGTGACATTGATGACAATGAAGCCCCAGTTCCAGCCTGATCCAGAACCCTTTCCGTTGTCCTATCTCATCTTGCTTTAACAATAATCAGGCCACATCAATACAATAGAGAAACCATTGTTCAAGAAAACGTAGTTTATATAGACAGTTTAAGATGTTTGTTGCTTTAGCTTTACTTCTTTAAGTATGAAGTCACTTGAAATGTGGTTAATCTATCAGTTAACACAGAATAGACATCATGTATTCTCATTTGGGGGTTTGAGAACTCAATACAACCACATGTATTTAAGTACAGATCATATGCACCATTCAACATATGTATTCCTGTCGTTTTAATGAAATACACAGATCTAAACCACAACATCCCATTATTATTCTTTTTAACAAATGATCACTCTGGCATAACCCAAACCCTATTAGAAATAACAAATCTGACAGGATGAGTATATAAATTGTTTTAGTACAATAAGAAAATTGTAAACTGATGAGAATATAAAGAAAATAGAGTAGTCCTCTGGTCTTCCTGCAGTAGATAAACTCAGGAATTATTCCCCTGGTCTTATGAACTCACAGGAAGGACAGAGACAAATGCAAACTATCCATGTACAAGGGTAGGTCATGGACTTTGCTATCTCCAAGGAGGCAAAAGTGGGGGCAGGGTGCTGAGCCTTTTCTATGTGTTGGGAGCACAGGCTCAGGTGAAGAATAAGGCTGACCATTTCCCCATGTGTATAAAAGCAATGGTGTTGGTTCCTGTCCAACTCAGAACAGGGATAAACACCAGAGAGGGACAAAGCAGAGAAGAAACAGGGTGTACAAGGTTCGTGCTAGTACTACTTTAGTGAAATCTTCTGAGAGGTGGGGGCAAAGGTGAGCCTTCCAGTCCTAGCGACAGGCAGTTCAAACAAAAGAGGGACCCCGACAGGAAGAAAGGAAACAAAGCAAAGCTCTTCCAAGGAACTAACAGCTCCCCTCAGAACATTTACCTCAACAGTCACCTCGCTTTGATCAAAAATAATCTCAAATGAGAGCTATTCTTGATCCAACGACTCATCCTCTTTGGTTGGGCTTAAGTACGTAAGCAGTGCATTGGGACGGAGTGTCGATTTGTCATAAACACTTTCCTAAGCACTGTGGTGGGGATCTTTATGAGGAACTCAGGTTAGATTCCTCAAAGCC